TGTCCTCAGAGAAGTAGAACTTCCTTTCACCCAGAATGCCCTTCCTTCTTTCCTGATGAAATGCTTATCGATTCTTCAAAGTCTGTCTCAAATGTTACCTCTTCTATCAAACTTTCAAGTTAGTGATTTAGCAAACACATATATAACATTTATTATGCCTCTCTACCCCTTATTATTATGTTTATATAACAATTATTCTGCATAATGTGCTGTCATTCTCTCTGTTCAACACATAGCAATATGGAGCATAGAGAGATTAAGTCACAAAAAGGCTTCACAGTCCCATACATAGCCACACTATGCTGTGTTGCCTTTTCCTGGGAGCTCTCTGTCCAGAATTACTGACTCTTCTTGCTTTCAGTGACCTCTCTCATACCCCTTTTAATAGTATGTGAAAAGTATGAGTTAGTTGTTTAAATGTTTTTCTTCTTTGGTAGAGAATGAGCAAGTTGAAGGCAGAAACTGCATGTTTATTTTCATATCTCCAGTGTTGGGTACATAATAGATACAGAATGAGTGAAAGAATGAACATGAATGAATGAATGAATGGCTGAGGGTATAAGAAATTAAAGTGGCAGGAGTAGGAGGGGGCTTCTGTAACCATATGCAGCCTGCACTTTTTCTAGGCCAAAGAATCCCTGAGCTGCATGACAATTCAGGCCAGTGTAATTTCTGCCTTTGACATCATATTATTTAAGAGTTTCCATTAATCCTTTGATGTGTTCTAACCTAATAATGCTATTCTCAGTGAAACAGATGATGAAGCGCCTTCACTGGCAGGTATTATGCTCTTTAAACACAGTTGCTCTTTTGTCACCAAGGATATTTCTGCATCTGATATTGATTTAAATATTCAGTTATGAATGTCACGAAGACAACTTTATTTTTAGCTGAGGATTGTATTGGCTGAAGAATCTGGCAATGTGAACAGTATAATGCATGCTTGCTAATCTGAAGAGAATGAATGGAGTGGCTTCATTGATCAACATTCATAAGGCTTTTCATTCTGTGCTGATATAAAGTTGAAAAATATTGGGTGCTATGATTTTACTGTATTTTAGTGTCAAGTGGTAAAAGCATCTTTGAAAAATTCATTACATTTTGCAGACGATTCAAGTTGTGTTGATCTTTTACTCAAATATAGATTTATGCAGGTGTGCCTTGAATTGCAGAATTTGGAAATGATGTACGTTACCAAAGAATCTTCAGGAAGTTCATCAAATATCTAGAGTGAGTATAATGAGTTTCGGGACTGGATTACCATCTACCCTTCTCAATAAAGCAAACCAACCAAACATGATTGCTAGCCAGATGGAAAATATAAATAGTGGTTTAGCTTGTGTGCATAACCCTCAATGTAGAGTTCTGTGAAATTTACATTAGAATATGCACTTTAGGCTTTATCCAAAGTGGGATTTTTACTCTGTTTGTTTATCTAAAACTGGTGCCCGCAAGTTCAGGTGTGCTTGCAGAGGGAGGCAGGGACCAGGTCGCCAGACTCCAGTGCCACCTGCTTGAGTATGGATGAGGCTGGCAGGCTGCTTCCAGAAGGAAGTGTGGTTGGCAGAATAATGGCCAGCCCTAAAGAAGTCCACATTCTAATTCTTCAAAGCTGTGAACCTTTTGCCACTGCCAAGGGGACTTTGTGGATGTGATTGTGTTAAGGATCTTGAGATGGGGAGCTTATCCTGGATTATTCAGGTGGGCCCAATATAATTATAAGGGTATTTATAAAAAGGATGAGGAGGGTTATAGAAGGACATGTGACGAAGCAAAGGTCTGATGGAGGGTCACACAAGGGATGTGAACAGTCTACAGAAGACGGAAAAAGCAAGGAAACAAATTTTCACCTAGGATCTCCCCAGCCCTGCTGACACCTTGACTTTAACCTAATGAGACTTTGAATCTACAGAAGATGTGCTATTTTAAGCCACTCGGTTTGTGGTAATGTATTATAGCAGCAATAGCAAACTAGTACAGAAGGTTTGGGGACCTGCCCAGATGTGTTTACCACAGGGAGCAAGAAACAAAGGGGAACCCTCTGCGTCTGATCCCAGGAAGTGAAGGAAGAAATAACCCTGCTCGCTGATAAAATGTTTTCCAGTTAATGGCAAACGTCAATATATCAAACCAACCACACTCCTGTCCTGCAAAGGAGTGAGTGAGAGAAGACAGAAGCTCATTAAGGAATCTCAGTGGGGAGAAGTTTAACTTCAAGAATTAGAGACTTACACAGCCATTTGGAAGATGGGAGAGCCAAGCCCAGGACGGCCACTCTTAGGAAACCTGGAAGTGTGACAATCACTAGATGAGACTCAGAAGGGTGCCAGCTCTACAGGTCAAACCTCACTTCTGCTGTTTGTTAACCCTCGTGGGCCTGCCTGCAGCCTCCAATGAAAAATAATAACTTCCACCTCCCAGATCTCACAGGAGGCCCTGTCAGTGGTGGACTCACCCAGGGACCCTGAAGACAAGAAAGAACAGTAGTTTCTAGGCGTTATCCCTCTGAAGTTCAAGGGCTGAACTGTACAGGGTATCAGCAATCTGACATGAGGGTGAAGAGAAAATGATGGCGAATTTTGCTTCTCTATAGTTTAAGGGAGAAACGTGAGAAGAGGATCATAAATATCCTTACCTACCACCCCAGTCTGTTTGTTCTCTTGGCCTATTGAGGCAATAGCTACCATCATGAATGTAGTGGCAAACTCTTAATATTATGCAGAGCCATTTGATAAACTCAGACTGAAGAGAGAGAGGATGGATGTGAAATTGAATATGAATAAATAAATTTAAAATGATTGTGTTGTAACTTAACTGCAGCTTAGGAGGTAACTATTTTGAACCTACATTATTTCAAGGGCATTTTTGAAGCTTTTAACAAATAATTTAAGCCCAATTAAATTTCATTGCCAGTGTCAGAAGCAGTAAAATTTTAGTTTCATAGGGCCTTTGAACTTCTGTGTTTACTGTGAGAGATCAGATTTTATCATGCCATTACCTCTACTTTGTAAAATTTGAAGAGGTTGCACATGTAACTGTTATCTAATTATTGATAGTTATAAATGCCATTTAATTAAATAATGCAAGAATAAACTCAGCATGCCTTATTTCTTAATACTTGCAATCAAGCATTTTCAGAAGATTTGCATAACACCTCTAGTTCAATCTTTAATTGCCTTAGAAGAGTCTAGAATTGCTTCTGGTATGTCAAAAGCAGCGAAGGGGGTGGTGCAGCCAGGGTGCAGTGCAGCACACAGGCATTTGGTTCCGTTTGTAATCTCAGAGGATGAAGGTGGGGAGCAGCCAACGTTAACACCAGGAGGTCAGGAGGAATCTATAAATTGAATGTGGAGCCAAGTCAAACCAAGATTTCCAATGATGAACTAAGAGTTTGGAAAAGAACAAGGGAGGGATGTGTCATGGAGCACTTGAGGTAGCAGAAGCTAGGAGTCCAGGGAGCAAGATATTAGGCATCACCAAATAGAACTGTCTGAAGCTATCACCCATTAAAATTCTTCAGTATCTCTAATAAAGTGTGGCTTTAATTTCCACTAGGGAATGCGATGTGATTCTGGAGTTCAAGGCATCTATAATATAAAACCATAATATGCAAATCGACCGAGTGGCTGAACAGCAGAACGACCTTCCGGACGACCTTACGGACAAAGCCCGGGCTGCGAGGGAGGCAGCCCAGGGCTGCCAAGGCCTACTCTTGTACAAATTTAGTGCATCAGGCCTCTACTTCTAAAAATATTAGTCAATTTAGTTTACTGTATTGCTCACCAAAATTAATGCTTCATGATCTCCTATTTCTGATACCTGTGGGAAATTTCATTTATATCCTTGGCTTCAAACCTACTCTCAACTCTGTTCAGCTTGAAACTCTGTTCTGAATTCAGACTTGCATATTCACTGATTATTAGGCACCCAACCCAGTTGTTTAATAGGTAGGAATCTCACACGTAATAGGTACAAATTTGAAATCATCACCCCTTTCCCACAACTCCAGATCTGTTCCCCTTTCTCTGTTTCCTCACTCAGAGATCTACACCAGCTAGTTGTCCCAGTCAGATATATGAACTTATCTCAGGTTTCTTCTTTGACTTTACCTCCTCTAATCGGTTGCTAAGATCTGCCAGTTAAGGCTTGAGTAGTTCTGTCTCCAGTGTAGCTTCTTCCCCTGTGCTCCCAAGCACTATGTACCCACTTCTGTGATAAATTTAGCTTACTGTATTGCAACTGTCATTTGCATGTCTGTCTCTTCCTTTTGATGACAGAGGAGAGAGACAAGGTCTTTTCATTTTTATCTTTTTGGTGGTTAGCCCAATATTTGTTGAGTCAATGAAATGCGTGAAGAAGTAAATAAATTTGATGAAAGCACTATGACCAGAATTTGTACATATTATGTCCTAATTTATGGTGAGCCTGATTCTTTATTCTATTTTACTTCCTCTTTGCTATTGAATATCATGTGACCTAATGATAAAAGTTGTATCAATTTTAGAGCCTTCCCAATGTAGCTATAAGATTTTAACATTTATTTTATGATTCACAATGTGAAATTTTGAAAATATACCAGAGAGATTTAAAATGAGCATGGAGCAGATGACTAACATGTAGTTTTGAGAATTTCAGTGTCAAAAAACATAAATTTATTTCTATCACCAACACATATCTTCTTGAAAATAAGGTAGAACTGATTCTAAAGGAAGTAATCACATTACCCAAATTTTAACAATTAAACTTGTTCATGAAAGAAAAGCAAAGCTTACATGACACTTTACAACATTTTATCTAGAGAATCAATGCCATTATTCAGTTACTAAAATGACCTTTCAAAGCCATGAACTTAAAAAAAGAAATGATTTTGTTTTAAAGGGAAACACTTTGTTCTAATTTGCAAGCCAACCGTTGTATTTTTCCTCTAACAGTGTTAAGAAATACAAATGACATATTTCAATTTTGAAAGGCATTATTATTCTTTTTATTCATTAATTAAGCATTTTATGGAAGAATTCTGAGTAATATTGTATATAAGAATCTTTTCATACGTGGACCTTCCCAAGTATGAAGTTTACAACCAATTTCTTCATTTGGAGACTCTCCCACCTGGCCCAGCACTGAACACAGAGGCAATACCTGATCTGATGATGTAAATCAGTTGGAATCCAGTTTACTAAAAGCAGCTTTTTAAAGTCTGCATCTATTGTGTAAATTAAAAGATATTTGTGTGCCTAACAACAAGGAACATTTATGTGGTTTTATTTATTAACTAGAGGCCTGGTGAATGAAATTCGTGCACGGGGGGTGGGGAGATCCCTCAGCCTGGCCCGCACCCTCTTGCAATCTGGGACCCCTCGGGGGATGTCCAACCACCTGCAGGACCGCTGGTTCCTAGCCGCTCGCCTGCCTTCCTGTCTGATCACCCCTAACCATTCTGCCTGCCTGTCTCATCACCCTTAACTGCTCGCCTGCCTGCCTGATCACCCCTAACCGCCTCTGCCTTGGCCCCTGCTGCCATGACTTCGTCCTGAAGGATGTCTGGAAGGTCATTCGGCTGTCGGGTCTAATTAGCATATTACGCTTTTATTATTATAGATGACTCCTTTAAAGACAAGTAGATTGTGAATGATTGCTTTCTAAAGCAGACTCCCATTTACTACATAACTATCATCCATAGATTTTTGGTCCTACTTTCTCATTTTTCTGATGTTTTCCACTTCTTATATATAAAATTTATTTATACTTGTTTGTCATAATCCCTGTGTCTGTTATAGCATATAGTCCTATTTCACCCATTGTAAAAACACACACACGTGCAAACATACATTAAACAATCAAAGAAACACACACAAAATCTAAGTTTTCCTTCAGTACTAACCTCCCTGCCTAGTTCGCCCTTTCTCGTCTCAGCCTTTTTGAAAGAATTACCTACACTCGCTCTCTTTACTTCTTCACCTTATCTTCACCTTTAAGTTTCTGTGAACTTAAAGTGCTTCTTGGTATTAAGAAATACTTTTTTACACCTGTGCTAGTGCATTTTTAAATGAAGTAGGTTGAATTCTGCTTTCAGATTTTTATTTTTTTTTGCTTTAAATTAAACTCACAGGAGGACTGTTAATACACAATAATGAATAAGAGTTAATTTTTATTGAGCACTTATTATGGTCCAAGCAGTGTGCTGAACTCTTTAGTGTGCATCACCACCACAGGAGGAGATAGGAACTTTGCCCACTGATAACAGGAAGATGAGGTGCAGTACATTGTGCTATGTTCTCAAGCACAATAATAGAGGCCACTCCGAGACCACCCTAGCCCATAGATTGCTAGAAATATACCAACAAGGCTTAGAGTCCCAAATTCAAAAGTTGGGAGTAGGATTGTTAGAGAGATTAATTTCTTTATGTTCTTACATTGCTCCTAATAGATTTTAGGTCAGAGCAATAGGGACATACAAAATAAGAGTAGAAATAGGAAAAAATGAACCTAAAATGAGCTGAGAGTTTAGTATATTAGATGTATGCTACTAAATCCTCTACCCTTGGAGTTGTGGATCAGAAAATTGGGCTCTGAGCTCACCAGCAGCCAGTGCAAAGAGAAGAACATCACCAGTGACATGAGGCACTGCCTACAAACTGAAAACAAACCAGTCGTTCAAGCAAAGTGAAGCTAATCCTGATAATGAGAACCAGCCCTTCTAGCAACGATCGCATATTAGAGGATTGCATATAAATCCCCTTAAAGTATGTGTCTTTTGAAAAAAATGTTTCAAATGGCTTTCCTAACTTTCTCGAGCTGTGTTCCAGTGTCAAAGCCTTTATGATCAGGCTTTCCTGCTGGGAAAAAGCTGAAATCCTCTTTGTTTTCATTTTCACCTGTTTAGTGTATGATTCAGTAGGTGCACATAACTGAGTTTTCTCTCCCACCTCACCTTATATCCTCAATAGAAAGTATGGTGCCAGTTGTTAAAATAAGTGACTATCTCTGAAATGACCTTCATCTATTGACTATCTTAATACTTAAAAAAAAGTTTTATTTCTCATTTTTGGAGATACTTAAATATGCTTTCTAAGATAGCAGAACTACTATCATGAAGAGCCATTTGTGTATAAGCACGTTTTGTGTCATAGGGAAATATTTTATAATTCAGGAGTTGTCCCAGGTTTGTTTTTTCCCATGTTTAAATAGTTTTTATGCTTGCTTTGTTATTTATCACAAGCTTAAAACAGTTTTAAAATTGCACTTTTTTTAGTTACTGATAAACCCTTTATCTGGGGAGAAAAGTATGTGGGTGGAGAAACAGTAAGACTGGCCTAATACGGAATACATTTACAAGATGGAGAGCAAGGGAAAAAAAATTTATGTAAGATCTGTTTAACAAAAGAAGATAAATGACAGGATTTTCTCTTTGTTAAAAAAGACATTCTTTTTACAATAGTTTCTTACAGCAATCTCCAGGTTTATGTAGATGAAGTAACTAATAAATAGTTTTGGGCATCTTGAGAGTCATATCAGGAGCTATGCAACTTGGGGAGACAAAGGAGAGGGGGAGGAGAGAGCGAGGGGCAGCAAAATGTAAGCTTAGTTAAACACAGGGATTTTTCCTTCAAGAAATGTGTTTATGTTGATAAAATGTGTACACAAAATATTTGTGTTTGATGTTTCCTCAAAAAGTTAAACATAGAATTACCATATGACCCTGGAATTCCACTCTTAGTTATATACCCAAAAGAATTCAAGACAAGTACATATAGGACATCCATGTAAGTAGCCGCATTATTCACAGTAGCCTAAAGGAGGAAACAGTCCGAATGTCTATCAGTGGATGAATGGATAAACAAATTGTAGTATATGCAAACAATGGAGTATTATTTAGCCATAATGAGTGAAGGACTGATTCATGCTACAACATGGTTGAACCTTCAGAAACATTATTTTACGTGAAAGAAGCCAGGCACAAAAGTTTACATACTGTATGATTTCATATAAAATGAAATATTCAGATTAGATCCATAGAGACCAAATGCAGATTGGTGGTTTCTAGCATAAGGGGGGAAGGGGTAATGGAGAAAAACTGCTTTAATGGGTAAGAAGGTTTTACTTGGGAATGACTGAAATGATTTGCAACTAGGAAGGGGTGGTGGTGGTTGCACAACATTGGGAGTGTACTAAAAGCTACTGAATTGTTCACTTTAAAATGGTTCATTTTGTATTATGTGGAAGTTTACTTCAAAGTATATAATAGCCACATATGCACATTATGTGCTAATATGGAGATGTGTAAATCAGTAAAATAGTGTCAGAATTTTTGTTTTAAGTTTTGCAGTAGCATTTAGCCTGTTAAACTATGTGAGTCACTTGATTAAAAAATTAATTAAAACTTTAAAAATGTTCAATTACCAAGGTGTATAATAATATACAGTAAATAACAATAAACTATTTAAATCCTGGAGAAATGTTAAGTAAAAAGAACAATTAGAACTCTGGCTGGGTAGCTTAGTGTCTTACAGCATTGTCCTGATACCAAGATTAGGGGTTCAATCCCTGGTTAGGGCAGATGCAAGAATTAACCAATGAATGCATAAATAAATGAAACAACAAATCTCTCTCTCTCTCTCTCTCTCTCTCTCTCTCTCTCTCTCTGTCTCTGTCTCTCTCCCTCCCTCCCTCCCTCCCTCCCTCCCTCTCATTCTCTCAAATCAATAAATTTAAAAAAATTTAAAAACCAATTAGAATATTAGTAATTTAAAGAAATCTCTGTAAAAATGAGTTTTGAGCTATATTTCAGGGCTAAGCTGCATAGGTTGATGGCAAGAATGAGAGGGAGTTGGCCACAGAATGAGGTGACACATGCAGAGGACTGGGCTGAAGTTCTGTAGCATCACAGAAAGGACTTCCCCAAAGGTGAACGTAGAAGTAATAGGAACCTCAAAATTGATTACCTCCTCTCCATTTTTTTACCTGCTCTAAATACTTCTTTTTTGCTTTCAATTTTCTATTTGTTTAAATAAAAAAGTATACTGGAATCTCACAACGACTTCTTGGAACTGTTGTAAGAATACTCCCATTTGGGATAGGAAACCCTTCCTAAATTTCACAGATAAAAATTCAATGCAAGTATATTAACGACTTTAAGCCTAGAGTTATTCTACTGACATTCACAGGTCACCAGACTGGAAATGCCTTATGTTCTCTAAGGGATAAAAAATCTATGGGTGTAGGTTATGCTTAGAAAATTCAAATGAAAAAGTATGAGTCCCATTGATGCCTTTTTAACTTATTGAAGACCCTAAGAATATTTTTGGATTCAGGGCATTAATAATAGCTTCTACCATCGATTCGGTATAGGTTTTGTCTTTAAATTCCATTTCTTAGGCCCATTAAAAATCATTTTTAGAATGAAATAAGTGAGAACTTCATCAAACATCTGGGAAATTAGCTAGTTTCCCTGAGAGAGTGCCCTTGAAAAGTCAGATGGGACTTCCAGAGTGACTCTGAAAATTCCCAACTGCCATCAGAGCCCATCCTTCACTCCATGCTGACCACTCGGCCCCCGAGGTGCAAGCACTGGACAAATGGGAAAGTGGGTTAGGGCTCCCGGTTCCCACCATTATTTTAATGTCATGTTTTAGACTCAGAGCTATCACCTTTCACCTGACTGGCGCTGGCAGACCCCATGCATTGCACAGCATATGGGTAAAATACTAGGGAAAACATCATCATTTGTTGGAGTCAGGGTTACTATTATAAATTATATCTTCTATTCTTTTTTTAAAAAAGAAATGACGAACTTCTGCTATTTCTTTTACTACTGGGGTATGCTATTTCTTTTCAAAGCTTATAGAAGTGTAAGTAAATAACCCATGTTCTTGGTTACCTAAACCAATCCAAACTAACAAAGGTAATTAAAATGTTCTCTGAGTATGTTTACCTTCAATATAAATAAGTTGTTTAAATTTTTCCCAGAAAAATTTCCCTCATGTAGGAACTAGATTATTTGCCTCCTGAGACAATGGAAAAATTAGCATAAATCCATCTTAATGCCTAACACACACATGCAGTGGGTGCTTCTAAAAAACATTTTGAAATTCCACTTTTGCATTAAGTCAGGTACACAGATTTTCTATATTGTTTTTATTATTCTTGTTTCTATCCAGATTTTCTATGATTTTTGCTTTTAAAACATTTTGCTATTGCAACTTAAGTGTCCACTGATGGATGAATAAACAAAACATGGTGTGTGT